AGGCTGGGCATACCCCTCTGCAGGGCCTCCAACCCTCCAGCTTGGTGTCAGGGGTGCCTCCATCCCCTCATCCACATCATGGATCAAGATGTTCCACAGCAGAGTTCCCAGCACTCAGTCCTGAGGACACCCCTGGTGACCAGCCACCAGGACTGCTCCTCATTCCCCAGCCCACCCTGGGCTTGGCCATCCAGGCAGAGCTCCACCCAGCAGAGTTTCTGTCCCTCCAAGCCCTGAGCAGCCACTTTTTGTCAGGAGACTGCTGTGGGAAGGGGTGTTAAAAGCTGGAAGCTGACCTGCAACCCAAGCCCCCAAAGAAAACACCCACCTACCTTCTTGATGGCATATTTGGGGTCGTTTGGAAGAATCAGGACAATTTTCCCATCCCAGAACTCTGCCACAACTCGTTCTTTCTTCCAGCCCTGCCACAGAAAGGGGGAAAAAACCCAAAGAAGCAACAAATTAGTGGTCTAGGAAGACACAAAAAACTGATTAAGGGGCTAAAACTCTAACTTTGAACCACTTCAGCTCTCAGGAATAAAATCAAGTGACATCCATCAAACCAACAAAGGTGGAGCTCCTTAAATGCCTCCTCTGGAAGACAAAGGGCTGGCCCAAAGTCCTCCCAACTGTCCCCTGCTGTCACCCACTCCCTCCCCCCCCGGGGTCCTTCAGCCCTGTGAGGAGCAGCCGTGGCCTCACCACGTATCTGAGGACCTCCAGGAACCTCTCGTGGTGCTGGAGGTGCTGAGCTTCATCCTCTGGGCTGGCAGCTGTGTAGATCATGCCACAGGACTTGCAAATGATGGCCCCAAAATGCTTCTGACCAGCGTCCTAGAGAGAAAAAGAGCTCTGAAGGGCTTGGGAAGCACGTGGTGTTTAGGGGCTGAGGTGAAGAAGTGGGTCTTGGAACAAGAATGAAAGGTTCCAGTCTTTGTTTCCCCTTTCTGGTTGTGAAGAGGAGGATGAGGATTTGCTTAGTGGTAGAAAAGTCAGAGCTGGAGAGAGTAAAATAATCCAGGGGATGTAATGAGAGAATCAGGGGGAGTTAAGGGTGAGAAGGGACCTCTGGGGATCATCTCATCCCACCCCTGCTCCAGCAGCTCACCCCCAGCAGGGTGCCCAGGGGCACAGCCAGGAGGGTTTGGGATCTCTCCAGAGCAGGAGACTCCACAGCCTCTCTGGGCAGCCTGGGCCAGGCTCTGCCACCCTCCCAGCAGAGAAGTTTCTCCTCCTGCTCAGGTGGCACCTCCTGGGTTCCAGTTGGTGCCCGTTGCCCCTTGTCCTGTCACTGGCACCACTGAGCAGAGTTTGGCCCCAGCCTCTTGCCCCCCGAGCCAAATTTGGGGTCCCCTCATCCCCCACCCCCCCAAAGGCCCAGCACACCCCAGAGGAGCCTTACAATGATCATCTGATCCCGGGAGCCCTTGCAGAGCTCTTTTGCCTTCTTGCTTTTCTGGGAGGTGTGAGGAGGTTTCCCAGGTGGGCTGGAGCCAAAGGGAGCTGCCAGGTCCTCAGGCACAGCCAGCATCCTGCAAAGCAGTCCAGAGAGGGGCAAAAAGGGTCACTGCAGGCAAAGGATCCCCTGAGGGGGCAGCTGCCAGGGACTCTGGAGGGTGCCAGCTCCTCCTGGGCAGGGCAGGAAGCAGAGGGGCTCTAGGAAGAGCCACAGTGGCATCA